TTCAGGAGTCTGATTCTTCTCTCACTCAACAGACTTTTAGCAGAGAGTTGTCATTTAGTTGTACATTTGCAAGCGGATTTTAGTCATGTTCCAAATGAGAATTGATAGACGTTTTCACCCATGCATTGGGGATAGGCTGATGAGAGTCAGGACTGAACACTACATCTCTAAGGGCCACCAGCTCTGAGATTCCCTACCAGCTTGGTTAATGCTCATTTGAGTCATTATCCGAGGCATTGATGAGGACGTGCAGCAGAAGTGTTGCATGAGGGTCCATTAAACTAGCATGAGGTGAGGTATGGAGTATTTCCTTGTACACAAAAACAGTGGGCTAAACTTCCCCTCACGCATGTGACACAAATTACAGTATCAGGCTTGTGTTTTACAGTGGTTTTGTGTTTAAATGTCTAGACGAGAAAACAAACTTTTTGAGATGGTGGGGACCAAAATAAGGTGGCGGTTAGATGGTAACACAAATGGGGGGAAGGGCCATAGAGAAAAACCTACAGCATGATCTAAACATTGTAGAAAGCTGGCATATCTTAGAAAATTTGGTGGTACTAAACCCCAAAGTATTTGGAAAGTATCCTTCCTGTGAAAAGATGCAGGGTTCCTCAGTCTGCAAAGAGCAGGGGTAGGAGAAAGAAGGATCTGGATAACTTTCTTGGCAGGTCTATAATTACAACAATGGTTACCAGTGGCGTTGAGTACAGTAAAGTGTGTACTACATTCTAGTTAAGGTTTACAGTCAGTTGTCATTTTCTTGTATGCAATGCCACTTTGAAGAAGTGACTTGCCAAATTATCAGGAATGCAAGGCCCTTATGCAAGAGGCCCGGGTTCAAATCCTCGTTAAGGCTGGGGATTTTTCTAAATCTGCAGACAGGGAACACCCTCTGTTTGAAGCTTTGGCTACAGGCAAGGGTCAGGGGCTAAAAAGGGGAAAATTGTGGATGGCTCAAGCAGAAGACACAATAAGATAAGTATGCATGCTGAAGAACATTGGGCGAGCAGAGGAGTGGGTCAGAGTACCAGCGGAAAAGTCTGACCTACGTTGGGTAATGATTAGATTGGGCCGGGTGTGAAGAGAGTGGCCAGCGGGTGCTATGGAGGTTGAAGTCCAACAGTTGATTCACGACAATTCACGCCCAGGTGATCTGATTATTTATACAGATGGTTCAGTGTTGAAAGGAAAGAGAAGTGCCTGGGGTTCGTAGCGAAAGCCAATGGAAAATCTTTAGTGCAAGACAGCCTAGCATATGACACCACAACATCTAGTATGAGAATGGAGGTGGAGGCGGTAACTGCAGCTCTCCGGTGGCTAGGGAACAAGATGCATACACATATTGTACCTGTAACATACTGAAAACATGCTGAAAAAGGTGAAGACAGGGATGCTTCGAGTAGAGTGGCAAGCTTCAATGGAAAGGCCACAGGTGGTGAGCATACTTCTGATCTTTTGTCTAGGATATGCCGGCGTGGTGGATAATGAACAGGCAGGTAAATTGGCTGGATCCGTACCATTGGGTGGTGAACTGATACATGACAAGGCAGATGTGGTCAAGACCCTTTGGGAACAAGCAATGGAATCAGTAGAGAAAAAAAGATTATGGCCTGGACAGAATGAAGCACCTGGGTGTAACCAGAGGGTCTGGCTGGCTCAGACTTTTAACCAGATTTTGTGACTGGTACCATCAGTACTGGAACTCTGTGCTGGCTGCTGAAGATGAGCATAGAGCATGCATGGGAATGCCCTGAGTGCTGCTATGTCAATTCTTGACTCAACCCTAAATCTTTAGCTTACAAAATTCACATCCCCCCCCCCCCCCAACAAGCATGTTGTATAAGAATGCCTACTATGTATGTTTCTTCCAAAGTCAGAGCACATCTACCTGAGAGAGAAAAAAAAAGATTTGCATGCAAAACTCAAATTCTGGAACAAGACCATAAGTGGACAAACAGCCAGAACTTTTCTCAGGAGTTAACAGCTGGTGAACACTAGGAAGAAAAAGGCCTTGTGACTTTAAAAACACCTGTTGTTTAAGCAAAATTTAAAAAATCAAATTAAAAAACATGATCTACACTGGCTAATGTAAAATAAGACCAAAAAAAAACTCCCTCTGTAAAATAAATACACACAAAAACGCACTGGGTCAGTATTTATTCAAAATAATACATTGCTACCAAAATATTCAGGCACAAGTAGTCATGCGAGGAACATCACTCAACAAAGAGACATATTCATATGTAACTGCATGCAACAGGTCACAAAACATCAACAACAACAACACATGTAGCACATGCAGTGGATTATTTTAATAAGATAATATCCATACACAACTGCTTTCAATATGGCTACCATATTGTAGAAATAAACATGTCGAGAACTAAAATCAAGCCCTTAAAACAACACTCCAACAGAAGCGTCCAACCGGGTACATGGTTAGCTAAGTCAGCAGTCTGAAGCACACCAAAGAAACACGCACAAAAGTTGTACAAACATGTGTAAAAATGTAATGTAAAGGAAGCCTTCCACACCACAGTGGCGCATCAGGCGTGCGATGATCAAGAGTTTTTATTTTTATAGGAAAAAAAACCCAGCATTTAGCTGAGGATGCTGACATTATGCCAACTGGCTTAAGCTACCATGCCATTTACTGGTACACATGTAAGGCCGGGTCAACCTGGGGGTTAAGTTAGTTGCGTATCCTTTACAGGACGTTGTGGAACCAACCTTAACAGCCCCTGGCTGTTGTGTGGTTTTTCTAGGCAATTTACATCCAGTAGTTTGACATTGCTTTCTGGACGGTCGGCTTTCTTGATACTACTGTCGAAACCAACGCAAGGCGCATTGCCCGCAGCTGGGATCAAACCTGGCATCCCGGCATTACGAAGCGAAGCGTTCGCATCGTCTTAGTCACAGAGCCGACACCTGGGGGTTAAGGTCGACTAAAAAAAAAAAAATATATCTGTCCTGATGTGGACAGGCCTCAGACCTTCAGGTTGGCAGCCAATCAGTCACAACCTTGTGCTCATGGTAAACAGTTGTAGAAGTGACATCAAGTTCATCAAGATGAAATAGCTTTGTCTGCTGGCTAGGTTTCAATGTAGCTTCAAAACCCCCCACACTGAACCAACAGATAAGATCAAACTCTACTTGTCAATTTAGGAAAATGATTTTGTTTGGGGGAAGGGAAGAAATGACTCTCTGCCCCCCCCCCCCCCCCCTTTTTCCTTCTAACAAGCATGCCATAACAATTGACTAATTAGGGATGTTCTCTTTCAGAAGTCAGAATACATATGCCTGAAAAGTAAGGAACCAACAATCTGCTTACAAATAAGCCAGATCTGCAAAACAGATGTGCATGTAAAATTCAAGTTCTGGAACAAGGCAAGTCTAGAAGCAGACAAACAACCAGAACTTTTCGTCAGAATTTACAGCCGGCGAACGTAAAGCAAGAGAAGAATAACACTTTAATATGTTCACAATAGAATAGAAACTGCATGGGACAGAACAATTGTCAGAAAAATATGTGATGCAAGAAGGAAACAAGCAACGTAAACTAAGCTGCTTGGATTTAAATGAATAAATGGGATAAGGGAACTTAAGAGGTGACACTGTCAACCATTTATCATATAGTACAGTAGTTAATTAGGTCATTATTGCACAAAATCATAGAATATGTTTAAACACTGATATTTACTGTTAATGCAACAACTGTCCATGGGCTATCCCTAGTTTCCCCTCGACTGCGTGATACTATATCCCGCGGCTGCATGTGGCAAAATGAATTCTTCTTTTGTCCTGTTTTTCCTAATGGAACACAGGTCCTCCAATAACTCACCCTATCCTTAGCCATTTGTGCAGCTCCCCCCCAACCCTACCCATCCTGATTGCCTGTGCCTAATTCTCATTTCTCTGGGTTGTTTCCTGTCTCCCTTTATTTCCTTAGTGGTAAATTACAGGCAGTAAATGCTTGTGTGGGTTCCAGGATCCCATTTTGGGGGTAAAAGAGAACAGACCCACTGCCCTTTAACAAGCATGTCTTAAAAGGCGACTAATTAGAGGTGTATCCTTTGAAAACTGTATCAGCCTGAGGCTGGGAACTAGCAGTCTGCATACAAATAAGCCGGATCTGTAAAACAGCTGTGCAAGCAGAACTCTAGTTCTGGAACAAGATCAAAGTCCAGAAGTGGATGAACAACTAGAACTCTACATCAGAGTTTACAGCTAGTAAAAGCTAAGAAGAAGAGAAATAGACAGTGAAGAGAGTTTACAGAGTGTTTCTCTTTGGCTCTATAGAATACCCCAAGTTTCTCTCAGCCATACGCTGTCAACTGACTTCTTCTGCTCTCTACCAGGGAAACAAAGTCCCTAAACCAGCTTTCCTATCCTTTGCCATCAGTGCAGCTTCCCCGTAGCCCCAACATCTTATTAACATCAGTCTCTAATTCTTTTTTTTTTCTGTGTGTTTTGGCCTCCCCCTTATTTCTCTCGCCCTGTGGCTTCCAATAAAAGGAAACTCTAATTATTACCAGTCACAGCTGCAAAATGATATATGCACCCAAACAGTTTTATTACTATGAACATTCGGTCCGACGACTGTCCTCAAGGGTCAAAATATTCAAACACATCTGGTGAAAGCAGATTTTTCTGTGTGTTTTGGCCTCCCCCTTATTTCTCTGGCCCTGTGGCTTCCAGTAAAAGGACACTCTAATTATTACCAGTCACAGCTGCAAAATGATGTATGCACCCGAACAGTTTTATTACTATGAACATTCGGTCTGACGACTGTCCTCAAGGGTCAAAACATTCAAACACATCTGGTGAAAGCAAAACAATTACACAAAACTCCTGCAGATTTTGATAATGGGGACCAATTGGCTAAAATGCACAGCTCAACTGTTTCTGCTTCTACCTTAAAACACGCATCAGGAAACCTGCAACTTCTGACAAAGACATTTCTTGAAACAAAACAGGGCTCGGAAGAGTGTTCAGAGTCAAGAACATGCATATTTTCTTGTCCAGTCTTTGGCTAGTTCTTCATATTTTGATCTATCTGTTTTATATACTCTGGCGATCTCTGGGACAAGTGGGTCGTCTGGATTAGGATCTGTGAGCAAGGATGTGATTGATATCAAGACTGTGGAGTAATGAAAAGAGAATCCTCGTTAAAACTATTCAGTGACTTCAAATATGAAACCAAAATTTCAAATACAAGACAGAGACTTTATTCTTTATTTCTACTAATTTATATTAGCTAACTTTTTCAGAGCAGTCAGAATCAAATCTGCTCATCCAAAGTTTTCTACTTCAGTCAAACATGCTCAATTTATATCTGTGAATTTCATCCTGTGCCTTGCTTTGCAGTCTCTTGATAATCTTCTACTTCTTAGGTCATCTCACTGACATCAGGTTGAAGCCCAGTGTCAGTCTTTTCCTGTAATCATCTTGCGCTTCTTGAGTGGTGTGGGTGATGGACTGGTTCATCATTTTGCAAGTTTCAGCTTCACTATTTATTCATCTATTTTGAGGTCTTCCCCTCGCCTTTCTACTAGATGTTCTGCTGTAAACAAATACATCTCTTGACAATAACATACTAAATCCTGCGAAGGAAAGATCATTAACCTATGTCTAATTCCAGTAAGTACTCGATCATGACCTTTCTCTTCTGCCTTCTATCTCTATCCCCCAGTGGAGCATAGGCTCTCTCAATCAACTCACACCAAGTTGTTATATCCTTTGCTACTGCATGTAGCACACCCCACGTCCTCCCCATCAATTTAACTTCACTGTTTTTTTTATGCTTCTATGGGTTCCAGTGCAAGACATTCTAGTTTTACTGTTCTCAGGTTTTTCAAACAGGTATCCTATCAAAAGCCAGCGTCGTTTCTTCACCTCTTGGTCCACTTGAACTTGTTGAGTTCTCCCCTAAAGCTCAACATCAGTGATTCTATCATACCATTTGCAATCATGACCTGGTAACACCATAATATGCCACTCAGCAGAAGTAAAGTTCCTGTGCTGATGTTGCAAACTTTACTGGCTTCTGAGTTTTTAGAGGAGAAGAGTTTTGCAACACACGTTCCATGGAGACAGTACTTTGGTACTGGATTGAGAGTTATATCAGACGAATAGACAAATCCTCTTTTTACAACTTAGATGGTCTAACAGCCAATTCATCTGACTTAAAAGTTACAGCTTAATTTCCACAAGATAAAACCAACCAAATTTGTTCTTATAAAAACCATGCTGGAAAAAATCTGCTGCAGGCTGGCGAGCAAGGGGTAGACAGTGGTACAGTGGAAGATATAGATGAATAGCAGTCTGACAGTGTACAGCCAAGGCTTGAAACAGAGAGCCAGCATTATGTGGCTGCTCTGGATCGGCATGATTTGGGGGGGGGGGGGGGGGGGGGGGGGGGCACCACTGTAGATTAGGAAGCAAAGATGACAAATACAACAGTGATTCTGTGCAATGTCCCAAGAAACTACACAGGAAGGCTTAACTGGGTAACAAATGCCTGAGGAAGTCAGGATGTGTCGGTAGAAAGGTGGAAACATCGCAACGATACTGTCAATTGGCATAACGCAATTATGTCCTCTGATGAACTTAGAAGAGGACGACAAAACAGAGGGTGTTTGAAATCTATAGCAGCCAACACTCACTGAGGAGATAATATTGGACTGATCAACTGAATCAAAGCTATGAAATCAATAAGTCACACGGCATCTAACATACCAAGCAACCAACCATAACTTTAATAAGTCATATGGCATCTAACATACCAAGCAACCAACCATAACTTTAATAAGTCATATGGCATCTAACATACCAAGCAACCAACCATAACTTCAATAAGTCATATGGCATCTAACATACCAAGCAACCAATCATAACTTTAATAAGTCATATGGCTTCTAATGTACCAAGCAACCAACCATAACTTCAATAAGTCACATGGCTTCTAACATACCAAGCAACCAACCATAACTGTGAAATCAATTAATCATAAATGCATCAAACAAACCAAGTAATCAATCATAGCTGTTAAATTAATACATCATATGGCATCTAACATACTAAAATATCAACTATAGCCATGAAATTAATCAATCAGATGGCATACAACACACCAAGCAATCAACCATAGCTGTGAAATAAATAAATCATGTAATGTCTTAACATCCCAAGCAATAAACCATTGCTATGAAATCAATCAATTATGTAATGTCTAACATACAAATCAATCAACCATTGCTATTAAATCAATCAATCACGAGCACATCCAAGCGACAGAACTCACCTTTTGATATAGTCAGAGCTGGGGACCATTGAGACCTGAGTATATCTAGACATATGCTTCCATTGCTGTGAATATTTGGATGGTAGATCTTCGTTGTGAAAGTTATCTGTCAGTTGATATGAGAAAGAATTTCAAAATTCAAACATATGTAATCAAAACGTGAGCTTGTTAATACTTAAGTTTTTAATAGTAAGTAAAGTAACTATTACAGGACCCTGTTCACACCAGTTACGCACCAGCAAAGTGATGCTAGACATTTTTTAAATAGACCAATCAGCATAGAATATAATGAACACTGAATGTTGAATTAAGAACTGACATCACACCACCTGCGACATTCCCATAAGTTAGGACAATTCTTCTTCTTTGCGTTCGGTTTCGTATGCTCAGATCACACCATCAGGTGGGTGGCCTCTATGAACTCGCATGTCAGTAGCAGGTTCTTCATAGTTCCCCGTTGCTCTGCACACTTTGCTTTTGAGGCCAGGTGTCTTTTCGAAGTTGTAGGTAGATTGGGCAGGTCTGCAGAAAGTGCTCAGGTGTTTGTGGTCCTGTTTGACTCAGGCATGCTGTGGGGACTGTAAAATCTTTATTTTTATGCATGTCGTAGTTGAGCCTGCAGTGTCCTGTTTGTAGACGGAAAATTGTTGTATGTTGCTTTCTGTTGAGTCTGCTGATGGGGTCTTGTGGATGTTTACTGTTAGTTTGTTCTCTCCACAGGATCACTTTTTTTTAAAAATCAGTTCTTAATAATGCATTGCACTGCTACAATGCGTCATCGAACACTAACCAATCTTCCTTGGTGTTAAGATTTTTAAGGTTGTCAGTATTTCGTTTGTTCTTTGTCCATGGTGTTCTGAGAATCTTTTTTACAACTTTTCAGCTCAAAAGCCCCCGTTTTTAATAGGAAACAAAAACTCATTTTTCCTACTTCAGCTTAGCACACGCTGACTGTAAATTCCAGCAGAAAATTCTTGTTGTTTATCCACTTTTGGATTTTACTGAAACTGGTTCAGAATCTAAGTTTTATGCGCACATCCGTTTCACAGAACTGACTTACCTACATGCAGACTGTTGGTTTCTGGCCTCTCGGGCAGATACACTCTGATGCTGAAGGAAACACCCCTAATTAGTCGCCTCCTACTACATGCTTGTCAGGGATTGAGGGGTGGGGGGAGCAGTGAGTTTATTCTGTGTTCTCAAAACTGGAGCCCAGGAAAACACATGGGGAGGGAACCATTACAAAGCAAGCTTAACCTCAGTCCTCTTTTAAGTCCAATCATGACCAGGGTTACAACGTAACATGACTCACCACTGATGTAAAGTTAAAGTACCAAGTCTCGCACACCACACAGATTTCTTAGTGTGGAGATGGGGAAACTGATCTCTGCTACACAGACCTCAAGGACTGAATTGCTGGCACCTTTCCGTCTTTCCTGACAATAGTGTTCTTCTTCAAGTTCACCAGCTGTAAACTCTAGCGGAAAGTTCTGGTTGTCCATTCACTTAAGGACTGCAGTCCTGTTCCAAAACCTGAGTTTTGTTTGTGCATCCGTTTTACAGATCTGACTCATTTGTGTGCAGACTGCTGGTTCCTTACCTCTCAGGCAGATGCACTCCGACTTCGAAGGAAGCTCCCAATTAGTCGACTTTAACGACAAGTTTTTTGGCTAGGCAGAGGGTCTATTCTTCTTTTCCCCCTATATATAGGGCCCCGGAACCCACATGGGGAACCTGATAGTGTTTTATACTGTGCTCTAGGAAGGCATGGGAATCACAACCAACAGCACAAAGTCTGGGCAATACTGTTGAGATCATGTGTTACTCATGCAACATGATTCTTCATATAGCCTGCCTTGTTTACTCCAAAGGAAAGGTAACATCAGTATGTCTGGGAACAAAACATGCTGCAGAAGCTGCTGGATCAGAACACCAGTGCTCTGCTACTCGCCTGACAGAGCTTCTCTCCTATACCACCTGCCAGCCAAGGGCCTGGTCTGCCCTATCATAGCATTAGGTTTTCAGAGTGCATTTTCTCCTTCTAGGATAAGGCTAATAGCCTCCTCACTGAACTACTTCACCTGAAACTTTTGGCAAATTGTGGGATGTCAGGTTTGGCATACGCTGCCAAAAATTTAGCCATAAGAAAAAACAGATGGTACCGACTACTGTTATATGGTAGCTTAGTCATATCTGGCCAATGCTTTGGAAAGTACTTCGCTAACAGGAGGAAAGTCCCTACACCATCTTTACATCAGTAGATGCCAATCCTTGAGGGGGGGGGGGGGGGGGGGGGGGGGTTAAAGAACTTAGCTGCCATTGCATCAGATTTAAAAGTATATAAACAGTCGTCTTCTAATGAAAATTATTTACATTATTACGAGAGGCAAAAAATGCTGGGCTGAACTCCATGTCAGAAATCGAGAGTTGCGTGCAATAGAGCAGAGTGAAGGAATCAAATGTAAGCCCTATATGATGGCTAACGGCACACAAAGGATGATGCCTGAGAGAACAGGAAAATAAACACAAGACAAAAGACATTACTTAGCTGTAGAAAGGACCCTTCTCTACGCCTGCAGGTGTATTGGGTACGTAGTGCTGAGCCTATATTTTACCGACCAACCGGCATACAGAGGCAGATGTGGTCAACATCAAGTTGGCCGCCTTTACTTCCCAGAACTTTAACTGGTGCACATTTAAGGCTGGATCAACCTGGGGGCTAGGATCATTTGTTTGAAAAAAAAAAAATCTGGCTCTATCTGAATTTGCATCCATGACCTTCAGATCCACAACCAAACAGCTAGCCACTATACCCCAGCGGCTGCCATCTAGCTAGATAACAAATTTTTGTTTAATGAAAGTCTAGGCCCAAAAAATTTTTTTTACCTTTGGTGGCTTGAAAGGATAATCTGTAGGAAAATGGATGGATAAAGAGAAGACACCATCAGCATATGCACTGTCAGGCTGAGATCAAGCATGAAAAAAATAACAACATAATGTATTAATACCTGTACTAAACAATAAGAAATAACAACTATAAATCATTAATATAGAATCAGTTAATGTATACAAGGAGCTAGTGTATGATGCTGTAATGTTCTTCTTCTTGATTCATCTGCTAATTTTCTGTTTATTTTGGGTGTGACTGCACTGAGCCTGTTTACAGCAGTACTGCAGTGGCTGTACCTTTTTGATGGGCACATCCAACTATAAGCATTTGTTTACCAGATTAGTCTTAACAGTGTGTTGTTCCATGTGGGTTCCGGGGTCCCATTCTGTAAAAGGCTATCCTCCAAATAATGGCCCCAAATTATAGAGGCCGAAAATATACCCTAACAGGGCCTCAGTCACATGTAAATTGCGAACTTTCGGCGACTACCGCCACCGCCGAGAGTATCTCCCGCGGCCCTTAACAAGTGTGTTGTAAACGATGACCAATTAGGGATTTGCTGATTTTTTATCTTGATCCGGAACTTGAGTTTTGTGTGCACATTTGTTTGACAGATATGACTTGTTTGTATGCAGAAGTTGGTCGAGCCCCTCTCACTCTGACTTCGAAGGAAACTTCCCTAATCAGCTGCCTTGTACAACATGCATATTAGGGAGCCAGTGGGTGTTTATTCCCTCCTCTCCCATAAAAATGGGGATCTGGAACCCGTGCGGGGAATTTACAACTGAAAACCGAATTAGGCAAACAAATTATTCCTTTCACCTGATGAGATACAGCGAAATATGCCAGATAATAACTTGTGCAATCTACTGTTTGTGTCTTCTTTGTTCAAATTCACATTATGGAAACACTGCTTTGATGATTAACTCTTTGGGTCCCAAGGAACGCATCATACGTTCATAGGTTCCTACCTAGAAGCCCAATGAACGCATGATGCGCCGATTTTATTACTTTCTTTACTACCCACTGTGATGCTAAACCCCCTGGGACTCAAAGAGTTAATCATGTCAGGAAATGTTTAGTCTGAATTTGAATTTAAGTTGCTGTTAAATGAATAACATTAAGAATCAGATGCACACTGTCATTCAGCACACAATAACTATGAGAACTGAACAAACCGGAGCAATTTTCCGTCGATATAATAAATACTTACAGGTCCTTGAATCATGGCTTCCCATTGATACACTAGAAAAAAGACAAATCAGTAGGAACAATTTTGAGAAGACTGCCAAGAAATACCTCAGAAATGCATTATACTTGTTAACGAAACATGTTAAAGGCAAAGGGTCATATCTAAATACCACAGAGGTATACCATACCCATAATTCTTTTTAAAATGGCACTTGTTATGTTATCACAATCGACGCTGCCGCACATTGGGCATTCTTATGAGTATCAGTCTGCCCTTGAAGCAGCCGCCCCAAGGTACCTCTAGGGATGGGTGATGTGATCAATAGCATGCCCTATCAGCCAGCATAGCCACCTTCTGGTACTCATTTATAAAGATTGTGTTCTTTGGGTCATGTTTTATTAAATGATGCCACCCTGAATGGGGAATTACCTATAACAACAATGAAACAAATGAAAATCAAGAATGAGATGATAACTGAGATCCACTGAAGAATTTTCGTCTGCGAACACACATGAAAGTATGGTTGGCGCATTGTGGTGTGGTTTATAACTAAGCTGTGATATGTGCACCTTTCGCCCCAAGACATCTAATTTCAACAAACCCCTATTTCAAGGCTGTTCAAATGGTGGCCCGCTGAGGTCTAGCAAGTGGCCTTCAGGTCATTACCAGTTGTACTGTATTAACTCTTTGAGTCCCAAGGAACGCATCATACGTTCATAGGTTACTGCCTAGAAGCCCAATGAACGCATCAGGCGCCGATTATACGCCTCTCTTGACTACCCCTTGGGACTCAAAGAGTTAATAAGCTTTTTATGCTTGGGCCCTGGCTTCTGGTCCGTGACAATCCCTGTTTAAAAAAATTTGGCTCCCGAGGAAACTCAATTGAATAGCCCTGTCCTAATTAGACGCTGTTTACGACATGTTTGTTAGAGGGCAGAGGGTCCCCCCCCCCCCCCCCCCCCTCCCCCCCCCCCCCCCCCCCCACCCTGCCTCCCAACATAGCACCCTAAAACCCATATAGGGACTTATATGATGAATGATTACAAAGTTAGTGGTCGGTGGCTAAACATTCAATAAAATTCCAACATGCAGGCTGGGGAAACCTTGCAACCACTGAAACAGTTTAACACACAAACTGACATGTTTTGACTGGATGTCATAAATTCAGAGGATAGAAGCTGTGTTTAGTACGGTAATTACTGGTTTTGATTTCATGTTTTTACAATAGATCAAAATTTCTTGGACAAAGAAGATGAGAAATATTGACATCTTAAAAGATCTGTTGGAAAAAATTATAGCACAAGGCATTGTACCAGGAAGGAGGGGCAGGGGCCGACCGACATGAAGATGGGCACAGGTTATAAGTGACTCCTTGAGTGTGAAAGTTCATGAGGTGGGAGATCTGGCGAGAGACCGAGTTTCTTTCAGGCAGACTGTGATGAGAGCGACGTTCTGCAAAGGACCTGCTACATGATGATGATGAGATCAAAATTAGATTTTTTTAAAGTGGACATATTTTATTTTTAAAGGTCTGCCCTTATTTTTTTATAGTAAAAGTGGCAAAGGACCCTTTTCCACGCCTTCAGGCATAGTAGGCAAACAGGGCTGGACCTATATTTTATAGGCCAATTAGCACTAGATAGGGGATGTGTTCAACATCACGCCTGCCGCATCTACTTCCTAGGACTATACCCGGTTCCCATTCAAGGATGGGTCGACCTTTGCGTCAAGGTCATTTAAAAAAAAAAACTGGCTCTATCACGACCTGAACCCAGGACCTTCCGATCCACAGTTGAGCATCCAGCCACTACACCATGGCAGCTCCCTTTTCTTTTTAACAGTCATATAAACAATTTTTTTTTTCAAACCGGGTCAATCTAAATTAGAATCACAAAAGAAAAGAGATTTGAAGATTGTTTTTGCTTTTTGCTTAATGACACCATGATCCCCTTAAAATGTTTTTCATGGATCCATGGGGCCTAACAACTGGGAAGCACTGATCTACAGTATGCAACCGGAGTTTTTTAAATTTAGCTATTTCAAGGTTTTTGTATTTTTTTTTACATAATAATTCTGCTTTTTGTTCAAGGAATTAATATTATTCTATTTATTATGTTGTCTTATGCTACAGTCTCCTGATTCATTTAGTTTTGTGAAGTTGGGAGGTGTAATCATATCTGTAAGTGCCAGCAGGTAGCGATTACACTGGAGAGGGTATCAAGTGACGATTTCTTTGTCAATGGTTAACTGATAGCTTTCACATATTATAGTTTCTTTATGTGTGGTGTAAGCACACATACAGCATTCTTTTCGCAGTATGAATACTCTTAACAAGCGTTACCCTTCAACAAGATATAAACCAAATGGCGTATTTGTTATAAAAAAAAGTAATAATCAATAGTAAAATAATGCATTTTTCTTTTGAAATGAAAAGTGTAAGCGGCAATTACAGACATATGACACATGCCTCCCACTGGTTCTGTCATGCCTGAACGTATGTCTTGTCTTTTCCATCTAGTTTCAAACAGCTATTTAGGCTTTAGTGGCTCTTTCCTTAAAATCTGGTACATTTATTTTTCTGTAGACTGTAAATTCCATAGGAAAGTTCTAGTTGATCTTTCACTAGACTTTAGTCCCTTTTCAGAATTTGGGTTTTTCGTGTACATCCATGTTACAGATGTATGTAGACTATTGGTTCCTCATCTCTCAGGCAGATCTACTCCCATGGGAAAGGAAAAAAAACTAAATAGTTGCCTTTTATGACATGCTTGTTATAAAGGCAGTGGGTCTAATCTTTGTTTCCCCAAAAAAGGGGTCCTGGAATCCACACAGGAAGTCTTACATTAAAAAAAATGTATGTCAAGTTTAATCTTGTATCTGTGGTATCTTGTAATCGTAGTTTAAGGCAAACAGGTGATTGGCCTGTTGTACCTTTGCACGGTGGAGGGGCTGCCTCCTTGCGGTCTCCATGCAGGCTGGCTGATTCACGGTTACCCACTACTTCCGGAGACGCATGAAGCACAGGCTCAGCCAGACCCTCCTCCTTTTACAGCCAGGCTTGGGACCGGTCTACGCCCCAAGGTGGAAGAGAAGTAACTAAGTAAGTAAGTTAATCTTGTGTGCTAAATGTCTCTTAGAAAGTCACCTGGTGTAGCAGCTTAATGCTCGCTTGAGGGTCGGAAGGTCGTGGGTTTAGGTCCTGGTGGTACCAGATTTTTTCAAATCAGTCTTGAATGAGATCTAGGTGGAGTTCTGGGAAGTAAAGGTGGCAGGTGTGATGTTGACCACATCACCAACCAGTACCAATTGGTCTTAAAAAAATTAAACCTATCCCAAATGCCCAATATGCCTGAAGGCGTGGGAGGGGGGAGACCTCACTTTTTTTTTTAACTTTGAAAGTTTCACTTACAGTCATCGCCCACAGGGCCTGCTGAACACCCAGCTGGTGGGTCCCGTCTTAAGTCTTGTAATTCCTATTTGGAAAAAATTATGTAGCAAATAATATATGCATAACATTAAATAATTTGTAGGTGAGAATGCTAAAAACATCACATGTTATCAAAATGAATGAATCATCTAAATATTTTTTTCAACAATTAAGACATAAAGATTCAACAACATTTAGAGTCTACAATTAACTCTTTGAGTCCCAAGGAACCTATCATACGTTCATAGATTTCGACCTGGAAGCCCAATGAACGCAAGATGCGCTGATTTAACGTCTATCTTGACTACCCCTTGGGCCTGTGATGCTAAACCCCCTGGGACTCAAAGAGTTAAGCATCAACAAGGAAATGAAAATTAAAATTCTGACAGCATGCATCTTCTTTGTAGCAACATACAGATGTGAGTATTGTACTATCTCCCAGTCCTTAAGAAAAGAAATAGGAGCTTTTGAGCTGGTATGCTATAGAAAGATTTATCTCTCTCTTGTTTCTCAGAATACCACGGACAAGAGAAGAAATACTACATTCTAAAAGATCTGACCATCAAAGAAGATTGGCTTATAAACAGCAGCTTGTCTCAGAAGCTAAAAATATTTTGATCATATCAAGCGCCATAGTGAACTAGAACAAAAATAATAGGATGGTACCAGAAGGGAGGGGCAGAGGATGATCAACAGAAAGATGGGCACAGATATAAGTGACTCTTTGAACATGAAAGTACACGGAACAGGACAGCCGGCAGGCAAGACACTGAGTTTCTTTCAGGCTGACTGTAATGAAAGCGACGTTCTGCAAAGGACCTGCTAAATGATAAGGCCCAAGGGTATCTTTATTTAAAAAACATCAATGTTTGATCAAGAGAGATATAACATTTTAGCCAAGTTATGAACAGAGAAAAATTGAAACATGCTGTGGGTAACAACAGGTAAGAATAATGTTAAACAGGAAAAGACTGATTTAATTATTAGGTTCTATCCCAATACCTCCTCCCAAACATATAGTCAAATATTTTAGGGGTGGTAGATAAGCTGTCCTGGGACCTAGGCTTCATATAGTTGTGGGGTGTAGGCCCAGTTCTAGATGTTGTGGGGGTAGTTAATAGCATCAGATAGCTGGGAAACCCACCAGTCCCTTGAAAATATTAGACTGTCCAAAGGAAAGATTAAAACAGAATGAGGAAAGCAAATAAGAGAGAAGATGGTTTATGATATGATGTGTCGACTGCTGACAACTTGATATGGAAATACTCAAGCAAGTTGACTGATGAGGACCGCTGAAGACAATACAATAGCTGTGCAAATGTATGAATGCACACACTAATTAATTAGCAAGGCAAGTTGGCAATTGTATTGCTACAATACATTAACAGACGGCTGATCTGTGAGATCAGAAAAAAAATCAAGCTGATAATAATATTATTAATAATGTTTTCGGCTATCCTCTGAATAACGGTCCCAAATTATTGAGGCGGAAAATATACCCTAACAGGGCCTCAGTCACGTGTCAATTGCGCACTTCTGTCGTCTCAAATTGCGCACTTCTGGCAACTTCCGCCACCGCCGAGAGTATCCCCATGGCTACCACTAAATGAATGTTTGTCGTTTTTTTTAAATACAACTTGTAAAATAGGTAGATATCATTACATTAAAAATACTGATTGCTATGAAGCTGAAACTAAGATTACCATATTACCATCCCCCATGCCGCGTGGATTGGGGCTAAACTAGATGGCTGGGACTCATGAGCAGCAGCTACTGCATCTCCCTTCATTTTATTTGCTCGTGAGTCCTAGCCATCTAATTTAGCCCCAATGCACGTCGCGTGAGCGGCATGGGGAATACTCTCGGTGGTGGTTGTATAGCCCCCAGAAGTTTTAGTTTGCAATTCGGCGGTGGCGTTATAGTCCCCGGAAGTGGGCAATTGACACGTCGTGACTGAGGCCCTGTTAGGGTATATTTTCTGCCTCGATAATTTAGGACCGTCATTAGGATAGCCATGTTTTCAAATCACCTCAATATTACTAATATTATTAGCATTATTATTTCATAAATCGACCAGAAAATACTTGTAAAAAAAATAGGTAGATATTACATTAAAAATACTGATTGCTTCTTGCTAAGAACAATACCAGATGAAACTTATTCGGGATGTGGGAAGTTTGTGTATATGTGAAAGGAAATGGTATTCAGTAAAGACAGTTAAATAAAATTCAAAGAATTTCTCCACATAAAAGTACTCCCCATTTCCAGTCCAGTTACCAACAAAAATGGAAACGCCAGCTAAAAAATAACGACAATAAAAATAACAACTTGCACATCCCCCATCGAACGTTTAAGTCAGTGGAACAAGGAAAAATGACAACATGGAATATTACTTTATTTATTCTTTTTGTAGCCATCACCGAGAATGTACAATCCGTCTCCTTTGTTCAGATCTCTGAATAATCACTCCTGTGCGACTGTTTACGTTGGGGACAGAAAAATCAATACTTCCACTTCCGGCAAGAAGACCTGATTACGTCATGCAGCTTACGTCTGATTAATTTCTTGTTCATCAACTCATCTTCTATTTTTTCTTCAGAATTCTGAGCCCTTTAACACCTCAAACAGGCACACGCCGTTGTTTTATTCTTAGCCATCGCATGCAGCTCACTCCATGTCCTCCCAGTTTTTTTTTAAAACTCTTTTTCTCCCTTATCTGTGGGTTCTTGGTCCACCTTTATTTATATGCCCTTGCCTTGTGGATTCCAGTGCAAAGACATTCTAATGATATTCTCAGGTTTTCAAAAATGTGTCCTATCCAACGCCAGCGCCTCTTTCTTCACCTCTTGATCCACTGGAACCTTTTAGTTCTCTCCAAAAGCTCTATAGTACTAATTTTTATTATTCCGTTTAATTCCTTCTTTTCTGCGCAGGTAGGCTACCACTAAATGAATGTTTGTCGTTTTTTTTTAGTACTTGCTTTAGTTGTTCTTCGTGTTTCTGTCCATACAACAGAACTAATTTGACAAAATTAAAAATTTTTAAAAAGTTCATCTTGCTTTTAGTATTAGTAAAATCGTTGTCTAAATTATTGCCCATGAGTACACATATTTACATCTCGGTCATCTGATATTCTCTCATTTTATACCAACAAATTAAAAAAAAAAAAGTTAAAAAGAGCAAGCAAGAGGTTTTGAAAGAGGAGGAAGTCCGAAGACAACTTATCACAGACATCAGAAGGAGACAGTCATCATGTTTCGGCCATGTTATGAGAAGAGGGAAAATAGAACATGTTGTGACCACTGGAAAGATTTGTGGAAGGAGGAATAGAGGAAGACAACGAGAGAAGATTCTTGACAGTCTTGTTGCATGACATGGAGGTGTGTCGGCACACGAACTGATAAACGTGGATTATGGAGAGGCATGATCGCCCACGCCAGTCGGTAAGGCACTTGATGATGATGCAGGGCATAGTATACTTTATTTCCAGATTCTATTCTAGACTGTATTTCTTCTCTCTCTGAATATAGTAAAGCAGCTGAAGACTGCACCTAAGTACTTTCATGTTTCCGTTCGTTTTTATTTTATATTTTCGACTTTTGCGTGGCAAGAGTTCTTATCCTTTCCCTGTCTTGTTATTACCATAGATTTTGTCTTATCTTGTCAGATAACTAGTCCCATTTTATTGGGCTGCTTCATTTAATAGAGCCAGTGTTCTACTGTCTATTGTTCATTTTCTCCAACGATATCAATGCTATCATGTATTCTTGTAGTTTCTCTTATAGTGCATTCTTCTTTCAGTTTCCTTAAAATTTCCTTAGGGCCAAGTATAAAGATGCGAGGACAGAGCACCACCTCACTTTCGTTTATTTGTTTTCAATCATTCATTGTCCCCCATGTGGAACGCATTGTTTTTGGTTATTTTGTAGCCCCACTCTGGCTGTTGCATAGGGCCCTATTATAACCTACTGGTTAAACGGGGTTTCCGGGACATCTCCACTGGTGGCCCTCATCCTTTGACCTGTGTCTAAATGGACTCTAGGCACGGTCACTGTTTTGAGCCACGGCAAATTGTTTGCTTCTGCCAGACGGTGGCTGTTGTATTTTTGCCCCATTTGTAGACTGTAAGGATATAGTTTCGTTGCCCAGCTTCTGAGTTGAGTGCATGGCGTGACACTGTGAGCTGCGGATTTCATTAGGAATGTTTTTTGACTATGACCAACGTAGTGGTGTGAATTATGGATTCAGAGAATGGCGCGAAGTCGGTTGTCTCAATATTGGTGGTTCCATTATGTGATTAAAATTGATCGCGTGTGCGACTGCTGATCTGTTGTCAATTTCTGCTAGTGTTACCATCCTTGATGAACTGCATTTCTAATGTCAGACTTTTTGTTTTAGCACTTCGGACGGCTAAAGATTGCTTTTAATGCGTGGGTATGCTAGTGCATATGCTAGATAGCAGTATGTCAATCATTCCACACGGGATTGTGATAAACATTATGTGTGTTATTCGTTGGATCAGGAGCGGAGCAACTATGGGTTGACCCGTTTTCTATGAAGCTGAAACCAGGTCCTCATCCGAATAGTGGCACTTTGTGTCACCGGGTGTTTATCGCTCTGTGTGATGTCATGGTGGTGTACAACTTACTTACTATTAACTTGCTTTAAACCAGATGTTGTTTGCAAAGGCTCTGATTTTCTGCCTCTATATGTTACTATATTGTAAGTGTATTCCATTCACAGTTTGTCATGATAATTAACTTATTCTAGTATTTCTAAGTCCTTCAGAGCATTTCTCTCTCTCTCTCTCTCTCTCTCTCTCTCTCTCTCTCTCTCTCTCTCTCTCTCTCTCTCTCTCTCATTGTATCCACACGGGTGAGAAGTATTGTCTGAACTTTTTCACCTGGGTACGTCGGTGTGTTGGGAAATGAACAGGCGGACAGACTGGCTGACTCTGCACAACTTGGTGGAATACTGATACATGAAAGGCAGACGTGGTTAGTGCCTTGTGGGAGAGCGTGTACAATTCGAAGGAGCAGATGAAAAAACCAGTCTGGTGAGACTGATGCAGCGGGGAGTGACGAGAGGGTCTGGCAGATGCTCGAGGCTCAGGGGAAAGACAAAACGGACGTTTAATCAGAATTCTACTGGCACCTTAAGTATCGGAACTCTTCGCTGGCTGCTGAAGATGGGGACGGAGCGCTTATGGGAATGCCCCTAGTGCTGTGATGTCGGTTCTTGAATCAAATCGAATCAATCTCGTTGTATCCCATCATGACGTTGGTTTACATCTCCTGACTTTACCTCTATAACTTTACAAGTAGCCGTTGCTCAAAGCTTGCGGCTCCAAAAACTTTTATTGCGGAGAGACTTTTCTTGGCTTTAGTTTTAAGGTGGTCTACATTTTTTCAATGCTAAAAGTTAGTTGCCTAATCTTTACAGGACGTTGCATAACCAACCCCAGCTTTGTGTGTGTGGCTGTTGTGGGTTTTCTGGGCAAATTTTAAGTTCAGTAGTTTGCCATTGGCCTTTGAGCTAAAATACTATAGAAAGATTCTCAGAATATCTTGGATAAAGGTTAGGCTTGTTGCGTATCCTTTACAGGTCGTTGCAGTACCAACCCCAACAGCCCCTGGCTGTTGTGTGCTTTTTCTAGGCAAATTTATGTCCAGTAGTTTGACATTGCTTCTGGGCGGTCGGCTTTCTTGATACCAATGTCGAAACCAACGCAGGGCGCATGGCCCGCAGCTGGGATCGAACCCGGCATTACGAAGCGTATCTTGGACAAAGAAGAGGAGAAATCATGACAGCTTGTAAGATCTGGACATCAAGAAAGATTGGCTAATAAACAGCATACTGTCTAGGAAGCTGAAATATTTTGGTCATATCAAGCGACAACGGTTGGAAAAAATGATAACAGAGGGCATGGTATCAGGAAGGAGGGGCAGGGGCCGACCAACACGAAGATGGACACAGGATATAAGTAACTCCGTGAGTATGAAAGTACACGAAGCGGGAGAGAGACCGAGTTTCTGTCAGGCAGACCGTGGTGAGAGCGAAAGGCCTGCTACATGATGATGATGTTTGCATTGCCTCTGCACGGTCAGCTATCGGTACCACTGTCGAACTAAAGCACAACAAACCGCCCGCAGCTGGGATCGAATCCGGCATCTCAATACGTGTTCGCAATGTTTGAACCACAGACGCTAAGCTTCTGTAAAATATTCAACAAATGTTATACCCAGGTATTCCATTTTAAAAGATCTCCCCAACCTGGCTCGCTAGCGTAGTTGGCTAAACCGGACAACGTGGTGAACGGGTGACGAACTCCTTGTGGTCCGGGGGTAGGCAGAAAAGCCACATTTCTCCCAGATTTACGGAATTTATCATGGAATCAGTCGGCTCTGTGGCTACATCGATTCGAACGCTTCTTAATGCCGGGTTCGATCCCAGCTGCGGGCCATGCGCTGGTTTCGACAGTGGTATCAAGAAAGCCGACCGTCCAGTAGCAATGGAAAACTACTGGACGTAAATTTGCCTAGAAAAAGCACACAACAGCCAGGGGCTGTTGGGGTTGGTTCTGCAACGTCATGTAAAGGATACGCAACTAACCTAATCATGGAATCAAGGCCGAAGGGTTGCGATATCCATAATACCGAGCCTAAGGGCTACCAACTCATGGCTTCTGGATACTAAAAAATTCCACGTCAGCTCCACAGTTTTACCATCTGCACTGGTGTTTTGGAAAGGTGATTATTTAATGAGAACCACGTGACTGTCGCTTTTGATGGATTAATTGTAATATTTCGGTTACAAAATTATCTGCATATTTCTCCGAGATTGACGTTTCTCGTAGATTTTGAACAAAGAAGACACAAGATTCAGCTATTTGCTTCATTTTAATCAATTGTTACTGTAGTATGCACCTGACGAGATACAGCAAAATATGTCAGGCAATAAATTGTGCAGTCTATTGCTTGTGTCTTCTTTGTTGAAATTCACATCGGGGAAACACTGCTTTGAGTTTCTCGTAGTTTCCCTGTTGTAACACGGATGTGATCTTTGAAACTTAGCGTAGAAAGATCTCTTAACCTTTATTTTTAACTGTTTTCACAAGTCCTCCCCATGGGGGATGCATTTTTTGTGTTATTTGAAGCCCCACTCTGGGGCTTCTGCCGGGGGGCCCTGAATACAGCCGGGTGTCACAGGGTGTTTGTCGCTTGTGTGATGTCCTGGTGGGTTACAACTACCTACCTATTTGTAATTCTGCAACAACCAGGAAGTGGTCACTGCGACACTCAACTTCTCGCATACAGAGCAGCGGTTCTCATCCTGCCGGTCGCGACTCTTTCTCAGGTGTCGCCCAAGACCACGGGAGAACACATATTCACTGAAGTTATGAAGGAAAATAATTGATAATTGTTTGGGGTCATCACATGTATTTGTGTTATCCTTGTGTCCTTTTTAGGACGAAATTTTTTGTTCTTTGAAGCGCCACCCTGGCTTTTGCCAGGGGCCGCAATATAGGCAGGCTATAAATATGGCCAATTGCCTGAACGCGGTTTCGGGGACCTCTCCACGACGATCCTCATCCGCATGGTGGCACTTTGTGTAATCGGGTGTTTATCGCTTGTGTGATGTCCTGGTGGGGTTGAAAGTCAGTCAGTCAGTCAGTAAGGGTGAGAGTCACTGATATAGAGCCAGTTTTAACACATGGCTGTGAATCCGGGACAATTAATAAACAAGCCAATTTCTTGAGGCATCGGAGGTGGTTTCATAGAACAATCCTTGGAATTCCCAGACAGCTAAAAAGAAACACAGGTGTGTGAATAAGATGTGGACTCGAAGACAACAATTACAAACATCAAACCGGTGACAATTTGTGGTCACCTATGAGAAGAAAGAAACTGGAACATGGTGTGACTACTGGACAGATCTGTGTAAGCAAAAGACAGAGGAAGACAACGTAGTACGATGGATGCTGTTGAAGATCATGGACAGACATGACTGCCAATGCCAGTCTGCAAGGCACTTCCTGTTATTTTACACTGCAACTAACACGTTAGCTCTCATCGTTGTCAAAATCGACACAAATTGGTCTGCTGCCAAATCGCGCCAGCACCTCAAAAATATGAAACAAATTTGCAACACATATGCCGGTCCGCGTCTGTGGCTAGGCATTGCGAACGAACTCGGTATCCTGGGTTCGATCCCAGCTGCGGACAATTGTTGGTTTCGACAACTGACCGTTTAGTGAGCAATGGCAAACTACTGAGAGTTAAATTACCTAGAAAAACCATAACAACCAAAAACTGCTGGGGTTGGTTATGAAATGCCACAGATTTCAAATGTGTGGTGAAGTACAGAAACCATATTTTTACACTGTTCAGAACCAGCAGCTGTTCTCAAGCGGAAAACATTGACTCATTCTGCAACGGCTGTCCCAGACAGGTTGTCAACAATTCAAGAAAGGACAAGGCCTGATTATTGGCAGTAGACACAAAGTTAGAAAAATGGCCTTGCATTTTATGGCAGACTTTTGTCAGAACCAAAGTCGTGACAAACTTAAAAAAAAAAAAAAAATTAAAACGTAACTTAAATAACCGCTTGGTATAAATTGTTGAAATCTGGCATACAGCTTGTTAATTACCGTGTGTAAAAAATTTTTTTAAATTTTTTTTGGTGTGTGCCTCACTGTTTTTGATAACCCATTAAGATTATGTTTTCACTGTAGAATATTAACTTTTCATACACTGCTGCTAAATGAGCAGGCAGATAAAACTCTTATCTGTTCTGCAACAACTGGTGGTGAAATGATGTATGACAAGCTGGATGTAAGGGATCTCTGGGAGTGAGTGATCAGTTCAGAGGAAGACAGATCATTAGTCGGAGAATGGCGCTGCAAGGAGTTACCAAGGAATCTGGACAAATCACAACGGAAAAGCGAGACGGAAATACAGACTAACTGGTGCCATCGGAATTCTTCACTTGGTGCTGAAGATGGGAACTGAGCGCTTATTTCAGCACTGTTGCTATTTCTGATCTTTCAGGCTTCTTGGTTAGATTTTTTTCGCGTTTGGTTTTGTATGCTGAGATCAGACCATCATGTGGGTTGCCTCTAGCCTCTATAAACTCACATGTCAGTGGTATGTCCTTCATGTTCCCCATAGCTTGCTCTGCGCTTTACTCTTGAGGCCAGGTATCTTTTTGAAGTTGTATGTAGAGTTTTCACTACACAGTGAATATATAATGAGATCTTTAACTGATACGTCCAGAATTGTAGTTGGTGGGCACAATATGAACAATTTACGTAATGCTAATCACACAGTCTTAAAAGCAACAAGTCAGAAAGATCTACAGGAAAGGATAGACATTGTGGTGATAGAATGTGGAAGAATGGGCCTTAGTTTAAATAATAGGAAGACAGAAGTAATGGTGGTATCAAAGAAAAGAATTATACAGAAATTTAAGTATCTGGGCACATGGATAACATCAGATGAAAGATGCATAACTGAGATAAGTAACAGAATAGAACAGGCAAAACTGCATTTTATAAAATGAAGAACATCTTATGCAATATAAGAAAGAAAAAAGAATTCTTGCTTGCTACATACATCCAGTTTCAACACATGGCTGTCAATCTTGGACAATCGGTAGACAGGCTAAACAGTTTCTTGAGGCCTCAGAGATGTGGGTTTACAGAAGAATGCTTAAAATACCTTTGACAGCCAAAAAGAGCAACCAAGAGGTATTGAAAGAGGCAGAAGCCCAAAGACAACTTATCACAGACATCAGAAGGAGACAGTTATCATATTTCAGCCATGTTATGAGAAGAGGGAAAATAGAACATGTTGTGACCACAGGAAAGATCTGTGGAAGGAGGGACAGAGGAAGACAACGAGACAAAAACTGCATTTTATAAAATGAAGAACATCTTATGCAATATAAGGAAGAAGAAAAAAAAAGAATTCTTGCTTGCTACATACATCCAGTTTCAACACATGGCTGTCAATCTTGGACAATCGGTAGACAGGCCAAACAGTTTCTTGAGGCCTCAGAGATGTGGTTTTACAGAAGAATGCTCAAAATACCTTTGACAGCCAAAAAGAGCAACCAAGAGGTATTGAAAGAGGCAGAAGCCCAAAGACAACTTATCACAGACATCAGAAGGAGACAGTTATCATATTTCAGCCATGTTATGAGAAGAGGGAAAATAGAACATGTTGTGACCACTGGAAAGATCCGTGGAAGGAGAGACAGAGGAAGACAACGAGAGAAAATTCTCGAGTCTTGTCGCATGACATAGAGGTTGTTGTGGGCAATCCGAAGATTCACACTATTTATGACCGCTAATGAACATGAGATATGACGAGACACGACGTCACTTGCCGACAGAAGACAGTTACAAGAAAATGTAGGAAGGGCAGAAGCTTGTATTGATATGTCCTGATGCCGCAGTTCGCGGGAGAGCAAAGTCTCTGAGCTTCATGTTGGAGAAAAGTAATTATCCTACAGTCTCCCTGATGCCGCAGTCTGCGGGAGAGCGAAGTCTCTGAGCTCCATGTTGGAGGAAAACAATTTTCCTACCGTCGTTGAGTTCAGTGATTGTAACACATTCATTTCATGGACACACATTATATATGTGGAGAATTGTTGAACAAACGTATTGATATTGCCTGTCAACGACGTGTTCTCAAATGTAGAAGTTTCAACAGTTGACCTTGGTGGCGTTTTTCTGCCTGTCGTTGGTTTTGACACTGGTTACCCATAGAGTAATAAGTTACTTGGACTTGGTACGGCATGGACCCGGGACTACATTTCACGGAATAATCTATACACAGAAGATCGCTGTACAGAGGTGTGTCAGCACACGAACTGATACATGCTGCAGATCATAGATTGTGGAGTGGCACCACTGAACATGCCAGTCAGCAGGCACCTGATGATGATGATGTAGAGTGGGCAGGTCTGCAGAATATGTTGCTAAGGTGGTTGTGGTCCTGTTAGACAGGCACATTGTGGATGTGTACAATCTTTATTTTATGCATGTGGTAGTTGAGCCTACAATGTCCTGTTCGTAGATAGAAAATTGTTGCATGTTGCTTTCTGTTGAGTTTGCTGATAGGGTCTTGTGGATGTTAACTGTCATTACATTTCCCTGTATTTTCCCTTGATAAGTGTTCTGATTTGTGATAACGACAATGGATGGGTGTGTTGTCTCTCCTTTTATCTTTTTTTTAGCAAGTCTGTTGGCCCATTTCCTGGTATGCCGCAGTGAGCCGGGATACACTGAATAATGACCTGATTGTTTTCTGCGAGCCTGTTTAGCTGGTGGGTAACTTTTCTGGCAATGTTGTCTCGTGGACCCCTCTGAGTGGCCTGGAGGACTGACATGCAGTTACAAAGGAAAACAATTTTGCTGTTATTAATTTGTTTTTCGTCAAGCACTTTGGATGAATCAATAATTGCTTGCTGCTATGAAGTTTGTTGTTTTCTTCGGAGGCGCATGACGTTCTACTGTGGTCTTGGTAAGATAACAGGCTTTGTTTCATGGGTGGGTTTTTTGGTTCTTGATCATATTAAAAGGAGCAGTACCAAAAAATCAAACTATAGAAACCACATGGCCAAAAGTAGTTCAAATCACACTTCCAATGGTCTCCTTTCCTTGTGGATTTTCTAGGTATGATACGCACATTTCAAGGCCTTGAGAGGGTAACTTGCTGTTCTCAGAGATTTTCGCACATTCAAGGCCCGCTACGAGCCATGATCCCAAATAACATTCTGATCTTATACAAACTTTAAAAACAAAAAAACATCATACAATGTTTTCAAGACTACTTTGTTTTTTAAAAGGCCAAGTTACAATGAATAAAATTACAAGATCGTTATGGACACATAAGAAACAGGTGAACAAAATGTGGCAAACATGAAGTGACATCTGACAACAACATCCTGTGGGGCCTTTGATATGACAGCAGCCACTGTCACTTGTAAACAAGAAAATATTTAAAATTTTGTTCCATGATCAGGGTTGCGTAACTCAGTGTGAATGATGAATGTGGCTCCCGTCTTCGCACATCCGTCACTAAAGATCTCATTCATTTTTAACTGGTATCCATCTGTTAGGAAACAAAAATGAAGGAAGGTTGACCTCAATGCAGTTAAATCCGAAACCAAGAGATTACATACAATGAACAAAAGTTTACTAGTATATATCCCAGGCGTAAGGAGAAGTGGGAAATAAAGACAACCCCTCAGAAGATGGGTAACACTTGAAATGAGGTTGACATGCACTGTTTCTGATTCACAGTCTGGATAAAATATAGATTTGTGTAATTTGCAAGATTAAGTCGAGTCCACTTAAGTCGAACTCGGATAAGTTGAATTTTGGGTATGTCCACATGATCAGCTTAGTCCCGACAATTTTCTCTCTTGTGTGTGTTGTTTGGATAAGTGGAATCATTTTCTTAGGTCCCTGCAACTTCTACTGATCCAGACTCGACTGTGCTTATGCACCTGTGAGGATTTCATGAAGTATTCAAATAAATATCTCAGCTCTGCATATTTTACTAACCTGCACCAGAGCAGGGCTATTCAATTTGCAGCCCGTGAATGTCTAGCAATAAGCGCGCCTCTGGCCTGTGACGATCCCTATTTTCAACATGTCAGCCCTTAAGAGATTTAGCTGAATAGCCAGGCACAAGGCTATAATAAATTTTATCGCACAGCGCAATTAGAACCTGACAAGAAGTCAATTCTGTGGGTGAATATCTAGTTCTGACCTACACCACAAAAGCAAAGATAAACCGTTACATGAAGACCAGAGCTCAAAATAGTCAAGAGCTACCTGTGTCTCTTCACGGTTATCAACACACTGCCTGTGTGGGTTCCTGAGCCCAAGTGTGGGCAACATAAGAATAAACCCACTGCCTCCTCAACAAGCATGTAGTAAGTGTCTCCCTTAAAGTCGGAATGCACCTGCCTGAGAGGAAAGAAACTAACAGTCTGCATAAAAATAGGCTAGATCTGTAAAACAGATGTGCATGCAACATTCAGGCTCTGGTAGATAACATGGATATGTTAATTTAAGCTCCAGCGCCTCCGCCTGAGAGGCGAAGAACCAACAGTCTATTCACAATAAGCTAGATCTGCAAAACAGATGTGCATGGAACAATAGTAAAGCATAGATATAGGTTTATTCTTGTCTCCCCAATATGTGGCCCCCAGACCCTACAGAGTGGGACGTAATCGAACATGAGACCTTAAGGTAACAAGCGACGGCTACATTAAAAAAATGACCCTTGGCTAGTCAGACATGCCATGTGCTAGCTTGACCACATTATGCATGATGCTGATTTTATCTCAAAAATTAATTAAAAGTGTAATGACAAACCAACCTTAGCATTATAGGCATCCAGCTGTGCATCGAGCTCTTCAACGCTGATGTCTTTCTTTTCGCGTCCTCGTCCGCGTCCACCACGACCTCTTCCACCTCTATTACCTCCACGAAATCTAATTGACAGAATTCAATTACGTTATGAAACAAATTTATTTTAATCACCTTCCAATTGTCATGCAACACTCAATGAGATATTGTCTAGCCACCCAAGCAACAGCTATTAACTACTAATCTTTCAGCTACAATTCACTCATCCAAACCGATATGTGTCACAGTTCCCCCTTTTTTTCACGTACAGCTGTAAACTGCATGAAGTTCTTGTCCGCTTCTAAACTAGCATTGTTCTGAATTAGCGAGCACACCCATTCTGCAGGTCTTATTCGTATGCACGCTGATGGTTCCTTTCCTCTTTGACATGCTTCTCACACTAATGAGATCTCAGAACCCATAAAGGAATGCACCTTTCAGTTACAATTACCTCAGTCAAACCAATATATCCCTTGGCTATCAATGTACCTATTATGTCTCTTAATGCCTGTCATCTACTGGACTATTCTAATTTTGTCTTTAAAGACCTTCCGCTTGGAGGTCTCTCATGCCTATATTATAGACAGGCCACATTGTTAGGAACCTCTCCGTTCTATGAGCCATTTGTGAGCTTATTCGGCACTAGACAGATAGTGCAGCTAATATCAAGCAGCCCGGCTTTTATTGTGGTTCACTGTGGTACTATTTTTTTTAACCTGCCTTGAAGGAATCAATTCATATGGCTGCCAGTTTATTATCACAGAATCCAACTAACCTGGTCAACATCATCAAATGTGTGGGCGATCATGCTACTCCACAATCTGTAATCTGCAGCAGCATGTTTCAGTCCGTGTGCTTATAACCCATTCATGCCACGATCAAGATTGTCGAAAATGATCTTGCGGTCTCTCTTTTCCGGCATATCTTTCCTGTGTGTTCCAGTATCCTGTTTCTTTCTGATGTTTGTGATAAGTTGTCTTTAAGACCTTTCTCTTTCAAAACATCTTAATTGCTTTTTTTGGCTGTCAAGTGAATTCTAAGGATTCTTAAGTAAAACCATCTCTGAGGTCTCGAGACATTTTTGGCTTGTTTATTAAATTGTTTAAACTGCCTATATTTAGCATGCAAGACTTCTGTTTCTAAAACAATATTCTAACATGGTAAACTAGCCCACTAGGTCTGTTTCTTAATCTATTCCTGTGCCAGTGAAAATCAAAGGTCCTTCTCTGTCATCTAAAAAAAACAACAACTGACAAACAGTCCTGGCGCAATCCAGAAATGTGCGCAATAAATTGTTTCTTTAAAAAAAATACTATAAGGTGAATCATTAAAATACAAAATATGAGATAAATTTACCCTCCTCCTCCTCCCCTTGCAGGTCTGTTGCTGCCACCACCTCGTGTTCCAAGTCGTGAACTTGTGTTCCCTAATGGTGCTGCGCCTACCAATTGTATGTTCATGGGTCGACCTGGACAAAAAAGTAAATTGTAAGTGTAAACAAATAAAAACAATAAGGAAAGCTAAACAAGAGTTTTACATATAGCAACTAAATATACCTGTTAAAAAGACATTTTTAAGAAATAGTAAAATCAATAGAAATAGAAAAAAATAAAGGGCGGTTTTATTACCATATTCTCTGAGTTTTCCATAAAAATTATTATGTAGTAGACAGAGAGAACAGTGTTTAAGATTCTTTACAACTGTTTGGTGTTAAATTGTTCTCTTCTTCACTAATAAAACTGCAGTAAAAAATACTGCTGTATTTGAGAAGACTGTTCCCTTTTCCCCTCGCAATGAACTTCCTAGTCATCGCTTGTATTCAGTGTATTAATTTCTTAATATCCACTTAACTGCTGTCACATCTTTCCTCAATGCAGACTGCAAAAATGCTGAAGAGAATTGACGAATACATAGAAAAAAGCTCAGATCGCTGACTGGATACATTTCTCATTTTTAAAATTCTATCAGAGCTAGGTTCTAACCCCTCAGGTATAATATATTTTAACTGTGGTTAGAAAACACTGTTCTCAAAAATTTAACTAGGAGAACTGCGCTTTCTCGTAAAATGGTTGCTGGTATAGCAATAGGGTCTGCAGCCAGGCTGCAAAATCTGCACCTTTCGGCTCCACAGATCACATTTCTGCATACCCCTGCTTAGTCACTGTTTACATGTGTCTCAGGGAAGCAGATGATCAAAACCCCCCGAGCCAAGAAAGCTATGTAAACAAATTTGTCATTTCTCTGTCAGACTGTATGACAACAAACCAGAAATCATAATAAATGAAACACACACACAAACCTACCATCAAGAGGGACATTGTTGTATTGCTTCAGTGCTTTCACTGCATCTGTACGTCTTTGGTAAATAACTTCAGCGGTACCTAAGGATCGGCCAGATCTGTCAAAGTGTACTGCTGCCTTCTGAAGGGGTCCAAATTCTGAGAACAATTCCTAGTGGAAAATGCCAGCAAACCATATGTAAACCCTTTTTTATTTTTAAAAGAATTCATACAAAACTAATTACTATCACATAGCAGGTCTTTTTGAGTATCTTGCTTCCATCAGTTTGTGGGAAAGTGTTTTTTTATTTCCCTCTGAAAAGTCAGTGCATCTGCATGAGAGGGAAGGAACCAACAGCCTGCGTTTAAACAAAGCTAGATCAGCAAAGTGGACGTAAAACCCAGGTTCTGAAAATACTGAAGTAGATAAACAACCACAACTTTCCGCTGCAAAGTTTACAGCCAGTGAACACAAAAAAGACCCCCCCCCCCTATAAATTTCCTGCTTTATGTATTTTCAACTGTTGTTCTGGTCAACCTCTGCCTCATCTCTCCCAGTAACCACACCTTTAGTGTAGTTCCTAAACTGGCACAAGTATATTTAGATTTAGTTTTTAAGATGCAAAGCATTCACAGGCTGTAAACTCTGGTTAAAAAGTTATGGTTGTTCATCCCCCTTTTAGACTTTTGTGTGTGCATATCTGCTTTATACATCTGGCTAACTTGTATGCAGACTGTTGGTTCATCGCCACTCAGGCAGACAAGTTTATACTTAGGAGACAAATCCCTAATTAGCTATATTTTACGACATGCTTGTTAGGGAGGCGGTGGGTCTATTTTTGTTTTCCCCAAAATGGGATCCCAGAACCCACATGATGATAAAGCAGTTTCTAAGGCCGCCTTCTTCAATGTTAGACACGTAACCAATAAACTAAACATGGATTGCATGGTTAGGTATGGGATTCCTGAACTGTGCACAAATGCCTCCATAAGTTCACTAGTTCTTTCACGCTGCACAAGGGGGTATTAAAAACTGCATGAACTGTGTAGCTTCAGCCGAAGTTCATATTTGTAAACTAGTTCCATCTTTAAAATTTATCCTAGGCAGCAAATTATCTAAACAGATATTTTTTTTAACAAGCCCAACATGCACAGAACAGAAAATATAAATAAAAAGTTGTCAATGAGAAAAAGAACACTTAAGAGATATTTAAGGAGATTTATGTGGAGACAACCTGCTAGGAAATATCTAATAGTAGAGGAATTTTATGAGGTAAATTCACAGAATACCGCAAGGCAGTGCAGAATAACAAACAAGACACTTCAAGAAACATGAAAACAATGAACTAATCAGACATAGTAAAGTTTTGTTTAAGCATGTTATGTGTGTTGAGTCAAGAAACCAACATTGTAGTACACTGGACATTCCATTACATGCTCCGTCCTGATCTTCAGTAACCAGCAAAGAGATCCAATGCTGATGTTACTAGCAGCAGTCAAAGTCTGCCCAGAACTTTCTCTGAGCTTATATGTCATCACAATCGACGTCACTGCGCATTCACAAGCACGCTCAGTCCTCTGATGCATCAGCCACTCCAAGGTACATTTACCGTATGTTCCTATAAGCAGCTGGGTTATAAAATCTATCTGGACCTCAAAGATGGCACTAACATCTCTGAGTGTAAAGTGCTGGCCAGATCCCCTGATCACTCCCAACAGCACATTTGTCTCTGCACAGTAAAGATTTATTTCTGCTTTACATTGTTATCTTGCTCCCAAAGGGACTTCACCACACCTAGCGTGTCATAATCAAGCTGCCTTTCAGCATGTTATGAGGAGTAATATATTTGAAAACTCGATGAGACAAGTTCTGTGTGGATTCTGCGGCCCCACTGTGGTGGTTGGAAGGTGGGGTGAGCCACCTCAAAGCTCTGCTAATAAGCATGTCGTAAAAGTTGACATGCTGGGGGTGTTTCCTCAAAAGTACATCTGCCTGGAAAGTGAGGAACCAACAGTCTGCAAACAAATAAGCCAGGTATGCAAATATGATGTGCATGCAAAACTCAAATTGTGAAATAAGATCAAAGTCCTTAAATGGACCAACAACCAGAACTTTCTATAAGAGTCTACAGCAGGGAAACGCTGAAAAGGAAAAATAGCAAAAGTAACATATCTGAACAGACTCGTCTTTTAAGTTAGCACAATCAGGAAAAGGAACCTAGACCTGATGATACACAGGGTGGTCATTTGAGTCTGCAAACCACAAATTATAAGCATGACACATTTGGATAAACATTCAGAACTCTAATATATATTTTGACCACCTCCTAGTTAAGGAGACATCCGAACTACTACAACGGGATTAGGCACAAATTCTTCTTCTTTGTTTACCAGCTATAAGCTCTGGCAGAAAGTCCTGGTTGTTTATCCATTTGGATTTGTTCCACGGGCTGAGTTTTGCACATACATCTGTTTCACTGGTTTATTTTTGTGCAGTTGGTTGTTCCTTGCCCCTCGAACAAATGCACTTCTTTGAAGGAAGTCTCCAATTAGTTGACTCCGACGACATGCTTTTGTTGATTTGATGAGGCAGTGGGTCTATTCTTGTTTTCCCCAAAAACGGGTCCCCGGAACCTACATGCAGAGATACTCTAGCTACAACAACTACTCATCTAGGGTATAAAGCTGTTGAAGCTTAAAGCTTTCTTCTACAAGCAATGCAGAGACAATGGTAAAGACACCACCCATTCTCTTCTCATGTGATAACCCTAAAACAGTATTGTGAGTGCCTATTAAATTGTTCCAGTGATAATTTTCTAATGTTCACCCTTCTGATTTACCTGTATATCAGAGTCATTGACCCCAAAGTCAAGATTTGAAACCAATAGTTTTCCTGATCCTCCTGGAGATGGACCTCCCAGCCCTCCTCCTCCTCCACCACCTCGGCGTGCTGGTACTGAACTTCCATCATACATATCATGCTGCCAGACATCTGGGACCTCACGACTCTGTTGACAGATGCACATACAAATTAAGGAAAGATGATATAATTGACACTATGCAATCTTACATATATAGTTATTTCACAGCTGGTTACAGATAAATCAGTTGAAAGGCGCAAATATCGCAGCTATGCTATATACAGGCACAGCACATTTATGTCAGTCAGATGAACTACCATTACTAGAGAGATTCACATCATCTCGGGTGGCATGCCAGTGGGTAACGTAAAGTAAATGAACTCTCTGGATTATAACTGGACAATAAATTGAAATGGGTGTGAAAAAACATCATTCAGCAACTAGAAAGCTGTACATTTTTGTGTGGATTTCAGTTTTTTAAATAGATGGGGGTGGGTGTTTATTAACAACCCCCCCTTCCCCCCCCCCAATCCACAAACATGTCATAAAAGGTAAATTACTAGTGGTTTGTTAAAATTAATGTTTCATGTGCAGGTTCTAGGGCTGCAACTTGTGGTGGGGTGGGGGGGGGGGGGGAGAGAGAGAGAAAAACGAATGAATAACCATTTACAGCTAGCGAGTGCTAAAAAAATGTAGATAAAATGGACCCAATGGTCTAAATATTGCAGAAAACCACGACAACACAAAGTGCCGGCCACCACTTTTAAGACAAACATAGATCTAACCTTTCATTCATTATCTTGTTGTGGCATTATATGTCACATAGGGCTCAGTCTACTCCTTCCTTTCATTCTAAACTGTGCAATCAGTTTAAATCATGGATGGAGAATCTAGTCCAGCCGCTTTGGCCTCCAGTGTTTGCCTTGGTGTTTCACCTCCTTCATCCTTTTTATAAACCACTTTTGCAATTGAGTGTTGTGGGGAGGAGTAATTTGCGATCCAGTGTTGGCTAGCTGCCACTGGCTATCATCATGCTGTGAAGACGTAGAGTGTCTTTAATGTTGTCGATCCATAATTTTCCACGGCCATCCTTTGATCTTGCTGCATTTTAACAAGATGGCCAAACCACTTGATCTACTGTTTCTCAAAATCTGGTACAAGGTGTAATTCTCTGTCTGATAGTATCATTATTTACTCGATCTTGGATGGTTAGGTTGGCTACTTTTCTCAGGCATCTCATCTTTCAAGTGGTGATTGAGATTTATTTTGCGTATAGTATATGGGCTTCAGACAGACAGTGTCCATATTTGGCACTGGAGACTTAATGTTGGAATGAATATGCTGTTTTTAATCGTCTCTTTGCAGTTATGCTTGGATGTCTTAATAATGGTGACAGTTGGTAAATAAGTGCACTTGCTTTCTACTTTCTATTTTTCTGTCAACTCTACCTGATTCAGACTAGAACAATTCAGTTGTATGAGTATCATGAGTCTATGTATAGTGGGCCAGGGGTGCTAGTATAGTAGTCTCTACTAACATCCATTGTTTAGATTTTGTTTAATGTTATCGATCTTCATGTTTATGTTATGCTGAGTTTAACCTATTAAACAACTATTGTGGTTTGCCTTCTTAATCCCTTTAATTCCTACATAATAATAATATTAACTCTTTTGAGTCCTAGGGAACGCATCACGTTTAATAACTACGTCCAGTAGTTTGCCACTGCTTCTGGACGGTCGGCTTCTCGATGCCACGGTCGAAACCAACGCAAGGCCCGCAGCTGGGATCAAACCCGGCACAAAGCCATGGAATGGATGATGTTTAGAGTGGAGTTTAAAACTTTCGAAAGAGTCAGACGACGTCAGACGGCCAGAATTTTGAACATTCTTTGTCATTAAAATATAGCAAATATTTCAGTTAATAAATTATTTAATATCACATGGATCATCATAATAATGTTAAATAGGACACTGTTTAACTTAGTTTAAGCTGAAAATACATGCGAACTTACCCGCTGGTTAAAAGTGCCGCCAGTTCCACTGCGTCTTCTGTTCACTCCTCCTCTGAACACTCCTGGAGTCCCGCCGCCTCTTTTGTTTTGTCCACCGGCACCACGGCCTCTATTTCCACGGAAACTTCCCCTTCCACCTCTACTACTACTTCTTCCTCTTTGTGATGATCTGTTCTGTTTAATTATGTCATCCAAGCTCATGTCCAACTTATTGGCAGCCATTTTTGAACTCCAAATGTACAACCCCCCAAGTCGGACCAAGAAACAAAACAAGAGCGTGGGATAAAAATGGCGATTTGAATCTCCTGTGCCAGCACACCGTTGGCGTGTGAGTTAAAGTTACTTTAAAATGTAAAAATCACATATTAATACTATATATAAATATTTTCGAAATCATATTAGCATTATCAAATTATATAATTTAAAGTATTAAATAAATTTATGTAAATATTTGAGTGTTATTTGCTTAAATACCGTAAATATTTATTAAATAATATAATGCAATTAGGCAATACAACTACAATACATTTCGACTGTCTCACGCAAACTTCTGAAAAAAAATTACAAAACCATTATCTTATACAATTATTTGTTTTAATCAGTAAGAAATAATATATTGTTTCCGTCTTTAACCCAGAAAGGCTAAAGGGGCTATTGTCTGATATCGGTTTAATACACAGTACAGGAATTGATTTTTGCAAACAAATTATTGATCTGTCAGACTTAAATATATTTTATTTTAGTTTTAAAAAAAATTTGAGTAGTCTGAGTTAAGTCGAGAGAAGTTATACAGCTTATGGGTTAGTGAAATAGTTTTACAGTGCAGTCCACATCGTTTTTTGGGGTTCATTTCCCTCAGTGGGTAGTTTAGAAAAAGACATTTCTAGTGGCTTCAAGTCAGCGGTATGACATCGCGCCTTGAAAGGGATTGGGACCTGATTACCTAATTGTCCCATTATCAGTGGATAGCTACATTGCAGCCAAATTTCATTGTTGAGATGGCACAGTTAGTTTTTAGACAGTAAAGGTGACTTGAAAAAGAATCCAAAACTAAACACCCACAACATAATTACATCTCTTTTCGGCCCAGACTTCAGGTTATATCGAAACCGTCGATGTCCCCAATATGATCTTACAACTAAAGGAGGCTTACCGGGCAATGTAGATGTACAATTCTCATCTTTGCAGTGTTTATCATGCTGACTACAGTCATGGAGAGCGCAGACTGATGTGCAATACAATGCACAAAGGAAGGGGAAAAGAGGGGGAGAGGGAATTACTAATGATCCAGATAAATGCAAAATTCAAAGTCAGTAGACTGCAATGCGTGGTGCATTGTTTTTGGCACAGGCATGAATAAAAATTAAATCCGTTGTTTTGTTTAAAGAGAGATACTCCGTATACCTAGGGCGTCAGCAGGCTCTATATGTGTTTTACAGATCCTCATCCAAGACTCCTTTGACACATCCTCATCGTGGACCATGTTATTGGCCTATATCTCGCGAATCGAGCTCTCATGGGATCTCGGAGTTGGTGGCCCAAAGAGGCGCAGTTAGCGCAGTCGATAAGGGGTTCGCTTTCAAATCCAGCTGAGATTCGCTGCAGCCCAAGGTCGGTGTTCGAAACCAGGCGGCTCCCAGGGTTCACCCTGCCTCTAGGAAATGGGTGCCAGAGTTGACACTCTGGGGTTAATGGAGGAACGTCGCTGTAGCCACAGAGTTACGTGCGGACGGCGACACAGCCGGACATTTCTTATCAGCTGTCCGTACTGGTGGCAGGGCACTAATGGTTTATAACCGTGTGGAATGACGCTGGTTCACATCTCCCGACTTTACCTTTTAGAGGTGCAGTGTCCAGAAATATTATGGCTCTCCCCAGTCCACCCCAAATGCATGCGCGATAACGTTCAGCAAAAACTAATCTGGAACATGAGTGAAAACCAATGACTGAATAGCTTGCTATGTGTGAAACTTTTTCTCAAAAGTCTGTCGACCGAAAATCCTACTGAATTGCTGCTTAGGTTCAAAGGTCCTACAGAATAACAGCGGAGTTTCGGATTTCCGACCATGTAGAGGTTTATGTGTCGGCTTTGTGGCTGCCCTAAATGCAGCAAAAAATGTGACATGAAACTTGACTAATCAACAGCCGTACTATTACAAATTATCCCTGCTGAGAATTAAACTCTCACCTGCTAGGGTAGAGACGAAGTTTGCACAATGTTTCACACGCGTGCCTAGCGGCACAGGGGTTACGTATCTAAGTTCCCACTCTACATCACAGAGATGATGATGGCGGCTGATAATCTTGCAGACAACCTATACGCCATATGACATTGTATACTGCATCGACCAAGGAGATCACAGTTCATTTAGAAAATCGCTGCCTCAGTGGGAACTCGACAACCGCAGCCTCTACCATATCAGTCGAGGGTTCAATCCATAATAGTGGTCAATTTTTTGGTACCAGTAGGGTTACTGACATCAGAAGGAGACAGTCATCATTTTTCGGCCATGTTATGAGAAGAGGGAGAATAGAACATGTTGTGACCACTGGAAAGATCTGTGGAAGGAGGGATAGAGGAAGACAACGAGAGAAGATGCTTGACAGTCTTGTTGCATGGCATGGAGGTGTGTCGGCACACGAACTGATACATGCTGCAGGAGATCGCGGATTTTGGAGAGGCATGATCGCCCACGCCAGTCGGCAAGGCACCTGACGATGATGACGATGATGAGGGTTACTGATTAGTCAAGCTTCATTATAGATTTCCAAGTTTTTTTTTTTTGAAAGGCTAAAATAAAACTATACCTTAGCCTGTGCTGTTTAGTACGTGCAATATATACAATGCTGCAGAGAACCGCGGTAGCGCTGTCTCTAGCAGCTTGTCGGCAAACCTGAGTGTAATAGTTTTGAACTCGCAATGGAACTGACTTCCATTCCATAAGTGATAAAAGGAACCAGGTCAAAATAGCTTGAATTGGGTACCTGGAAATGTTATAAGGAAGTAAAGATGACGGACATGTTGTTGACCACATAACCCATCGTGTACGGATTGACCTGTACAAACGTGTGCCCAGCACCGTATTTACAAACGTGAGTAAATTTGAAGGTTACACCGGAACCCCATTTCTTTGCTTAAATTTTTCAGATTACAAATAATTGTCGAAAATATTTTAGTTTTGCATCATAATATCAAGTGTAGCGTAATTTACCAACAGAATGTGTACATTTTATAAAATAAAACTATTTTAAACTGTAAGTATGATAATGGGCAACTCTCGAGCTGACGCGATCTAAATAGATTGACCTGAAGGTCAACATCCCTACAGCAGACGTCGCTTCCGTGTAGGAAGGGAAATAAAAGTGGATGAAAATGCACCCTTGGAAGAGGTCGAAGGCTCCATGATTTAGCTTCAAGAGGATGGTATTTGGAACCAGAACAATGGATACTTGCCGCGAAATTAAGCCCCGACATGCTGTGTACGAAAAGGTAAGCGGGGGTTGTGTAGTTCGTGTGTTTTGCTGTGGAGTTCTTGTACTAGGCAAGTGGTTTGGTCCAGGATTCAGAAGTGGAGGAAATGAAGATCGAGGTTTGTCTAGTTGTAAGAACATGTATAGTCTGCTTATTTAGTCATTAGAGCTGATACTGCAGTGTGTAATTTCATAAACGGATGACAGCTTTTAAAGTGTAAAACTATAACTGTTGTTTTTAGCTTTATTCAGAATATATAAATTATGTTTATTTTATTTTCTTATGTAGTAACGTCTTATTAGAAACTTAACTCAGTTACTCTTGAGTCTTCACTGCCCATTATACTAGTAGTCAACCCTGTAGTAGTATATAGCATTTTAGCTCGAAAGTTAATGCTCTGTGTTTTTGATTGAGATAATTGAGTATCAGATAATACATTAAATAGCTTACAGGTGTGTAAATAGTTTAATGAACCAAGTGTCGCTTTTTCTGCCATCTCAATAACTACTGTCGTGACATAAGTTGAGCTACACATCATGACACATGTTTGCTTGCTGTTTTATTGAACACATTAAGGATAGACCTTTATACCGCTGGGAGCCTTTTTTAAAGTAATCTACGCAGGCTGCTTCCTCTAGTATCACTGAGTTTCCAGCTTTTATATTTAAAACGCCGTAAACTGTTTCCAGAATTATAATTGCAAAGCTGGCCACCACATCCCATAGAAAACGGTAACTGCTCAATTTTTCCCATGTGAGCTCTGGGACACCATTGTGGGGGAAAAAAGAACAGACCCACTGCTTCCCTGTCATAAAAGTCGACTAATTAGGGATGTTTTCTTTGAAGTCAGAGTGCATCTTCATGAGTTGAGTTGAGTCAAGATTTGACATCGGGGCATTCCTATGCATGCTTCGTCCTCATCTTCAGCAGCCAGTGCCAAGTTCTAATACTGATGGTACCAGTCACAATCTGGTTATATGTCCGTCTTGCCTTTCCTTTGAGTATAGTGAGCTGGCCTCTGGTTACACCAAGGTGCCTCATTCTCCCCAGGCCATAATAATCTTGTTTTTCTAATAATTACGTTGCTTTTTCCCAAAGAGCCTTGACCACATCTGTCTTGTCATATATCAATTCACTACCCAGTGGTGCATATCCAGCCAGTCTGTCTGCCTGTTCATTACCCTCCACGCTGGCATAGGGTGGAGAAAAGATCCAAAGTAAGCTCACTATCTGTGACCTTTCCATTGAAGCTTGCCACTCTGCTCGAAGCATCCTTGACTTCACCTTTTTCATGAAAGGCAATGAACCAACAGTCTTATATAGATAACCTAGATCTGCCAAATGGATGTGCACACAAAACTCAAGTTTTGAAACAAGCCTCAAGTCAGAAGGGGATGAATCAGTCATGTGCATATGTGGACTAGCACCTGAGACAGCAGATCATGTCCTTCAGGATTGTCCCAAATATAACATATCAAGGCAAAACCTTTGGCCAAGAGAAACATCAGTGCAAGTCAAACTTTACGGGTCGCTGAGTAAATTACAAAAGACAGTGAAGTTCATACTATAGACAAAATTGCAAATATAGATAATCTATTTCAAGCGAACAAAAGAAGAAGAAGAAGAAGGGGACGAACAACCAGAACCTTCCTCCTGCATTAACAGCTGTGAATGTTAAGAAAAAGAAAAATACTACAAAATGTAACCAGTCACAAAGTTTGCAAAGGACTTGAGGTGTATGATTTGAGTA